ATCCAGTTCGATGCCCACCTCCTCAGGCCAATCACTGCATCAAATGTGCTTCCACATCCTCCTCTTCAAGGGACTAAACTGGAAAACAATCAAGTGGCTCCCTCACGGTCCGATCTCTGGTAGGATCGTCTGAAGTATTCAGCCAAGTGGAGACAAAAGGCAGGCTGAAGTACAGGACACCAGCAATGCGCGATGCACCATACCGACAAAGAAATGGTGTCAGTGCTCTGCTGGAAGATCTTCCTTTGGATGCTGCACAGCGGATGACATTGGAATCCACAAAGTTCACAACGCGGCAAGCTTGCCCCTTCCTCACAAGCCTTTCAGCCAGCCGCAAGACACTCTTAAGCTCCAAGATGTTGATGTGTCTTTTTGTCTGATATCGCCACGCATCAACCAGGGCGACCTCATAGCAACGGCATTAACGAGCTGATTTTCAAGCCCTTTCACCGTCCCATCCTCGACCTCCTTCAGAGCTGACTGCCTTGCTCGAATGGAGTTGGCAAAACAGGAGGCAATAGCACGTGCAAGCTTTGGAGTATAGGATGCGGACGCCTTCGTGTACTTGCCTTCGACAACCACATGGCGATGACTCCGGTCGCATCTCTCTTCCATAGCCTTTGTGTCTAGCCAGGCCGACAGGAAGCGGAAGCTTTTCTGATGGGGAGAGCCAAAAGCACATGATTCTGTACGAGTTGTCTTGACACCCTCCTTCTTTTCTAACGCCTGCCACTGCCTCAGAAATCTCATCATCAACGTCCAGGGCTGTTCACATAGGCCAGGAAGAAAACATTGCCGAGCAACGCTCAGCAGGAACAGGGCCCGCAAGGCGAGAATGTTCCCCGTTCTTGTCTTCTCACACTGCACATTGAAACCCGTGGGAATATCAGCTGACCTCAACGGCGGGGGTCGAATCCTCGAGAATGTAGCGCAGACCGGCTCAACCATTATGCTTCCCAAATTTCCTGAAGTCAGCAAAAAGCTCAGCCATGAAACAACTCGGGTCAGAACCAGATCCAGCTCTTCACTGAAGGCAATGTCGATGGGCGGACCGACGACAAAACCAAGCGCAGACATAGCTTGGGATACCCTGTATGACCCGGCATAGACCTCGATGAAGTCATACCGAAATGCTAAAGGTCTGCTAACCGACAAACCACACACTGCGTCGCCGGAGCTACAAACCTCTTGGTGGTCAACCTCTTCTTGCAGGCCCAATCTACCCATCACCAATTCGAAAGGAGTCTTGAGTCCGGCGTATGCTCCCTTCGTTCTTGCTGATCTTGAAAGTCTTTGCACTACCTGCTTTGGGACAGCCGTCGAAGTGATAGCCCCCATTGAATCGGAGGCGTCAGTGGAGAATACCTCATCCATGAAGGGAGCCCCAAGATCAGACACCATCAGAGGAGCCAACACACTCAGCAAGACCATCTCGTTTGCCACAGCCCTAGGCATAGGAACAAGCCTCGGGCAAGCTGAGTCGACACACCATACATCAACAAGGCCGTGTGCTTTGGACAAGATGCTCAAAAAGGGCCTCCGGTACATCAGCATTGAAGTCCATCCACCAAGAAAGCATAAATGCAGGGCATCTGTAGTATGCGATAGCTGCAACTTCTGCAATGTAAGCCAAGAGAGTGACAACCGTTTGGAAATAGGTGACCCCAATGTAGCCATACGATTTCTTGCAGCCTCATCACCAGCATTGAGCTCAGCTCCAATAATTGGGGATCCTGTCGGTGAAGCCTCGGAGCCCTGATCTTTTTGCTGCTGTTGTCCCGTCCGCTTTGACAGATCGGGCTTTTTGTTTGCAAGCACTTCTAAATCTTTGAGGTAACTCAACGTGGTTGCCGTCCATGAAGGTGGTATCAATGGGCTGAATGGGCGACTGGTTGCTGACACTTGTACCGACCGTTCTTGAAAAAGCTGAAAGGGCGGGTCCTCGTGCAAGCTCACTAGGCAGGCCACAGCCCAGTCCCCATTGTCGTGGTTTGCCTGTTCCACTGACATGGCCAACAGTTAAAGAACCTCCTTCGTGCCAGCAAAATCGTCCTGAGCAGCTGCATCGATGGCGTGAGCCAATATCCATTGGATGAGCCCGAATGTCTTCTGGTTCTTGTACCCCCAGACTTCTCCAGATACTCCACCATGGAGACACTGCCAAGCTCTTGTTCTGTACGAGGAAGTGCCCGTCCTGGGTGCAACTTCTTGTGTACTTGCTGCATCATCAAAAGGAAGAAATTGCCGCTGCGGGCTGCAAGCTCAGCCCGTAGCTTCTCCCGACGTTGAACTCCCTTCATACTGGAGGAGCTCATGAAGCCTGATTGCAAGTCGGCCAGTGGATCTCCTCCTTGTTGAGCCATATGGTCGACCAATGCCGTCAGGGCACTGCTCTGCTGAGATAGGGCATTGATGATAACACCCGGATCGTGGCCGGCATTGCCAGAACTTCCCAACAGCAATGCATCTGGCTCCTCTTGACTGGGGAGCTTCGGATGGTTTGATGTAGGAGAAGTCATCTGACCCATTCTTGTTCGCGGAGGTGGCCCGACCAACTGCAACGCTTTTGCCATGGAAAGAGAAGGACCCTCCACGGAAGCAAGCCCTGCGGACAAATCCGGCAGCCTGTCTTTGTTGCCACCAAAATGCCCTCCAGCAGCTTCTGCAGACTTAGAAACCTCTGCCGGATGAAGAGGGTCTCGAGACCCTTCCAAGACGTCCTGCCGGGCTGACAGAACTTGGAGCTGAGTGGTGAGTTCATTCAACTGTTCCATGAGGACTGCATTTGTGACCCTCTTCGGGGCCGCTGTAGATCTTTTCTGACCAGCCTTGGCCTTCACTGCAATCTCCGGGTCTTCTAGAGCCGAATAAAAAGCTGCCATCTGATCAGTTCTCTCCTGAAGCCACTCTTTGAGACGCTTCAGCAGAATATCCACTTGTGGAATGCACGAAGTATTGTCGGGGTGGTAGGGCACAATCTCGGTGTCAGAGTCTGTCACAGGGTCAAATACTCTGGCAAAATTCAAAACCTCATCACTGACGTCAATGACCAACACCGAGCCACTCATACCAAGAGGAACCAAAGCACCATCGTCTCCTTCCTCAATCAATGGGACATCGAAGTGAGAGCCAATGCCAAGCCAGGAAGGTGCCAACTCCAAGGACGACCCTTCTGCCAAGTAGGACTCATCCACCACCCCGTAGGGAATGCATGCAAGGAAACCGCCTCCACGGGCAATGAGAGGCAGAACAAAAAGCTCAGTGACTGTTTCCACCACTGGAGGAGAAAGGGTGGCGACCATCAAGGAAAAGTCCACCCGATCTCCAGCGCACTTCAATTCTGACCTTTGTATTGGTATAGAGGAGGCACACTCACACCGCAGCTGGCGCAGCACACTTCGACCTCTGTAATAGAAGCAAAATCTTGATAAACAGCCGGCTCGCTGCCTGGAACTTGGGACGCCAAGAGGTACCTCAGCTTAGAAATCTTGCGGACTCTCACCAGAGATGAAATCCTGGAATGCCGGAAGGTCAGCCACTGAGTATCAGATACCGAAATAGGATCTCTCCGCTTGTACTCAGAATGCGTGGCCATGGCAGCCCCGCACCAGAATCCAGATCGCCACGCTCTGGCAATCCTTTCTTTCGGATCTCCTGCTACGTTGGACAACCGAGTTGAGGCAGTCGAGTAGAGGTAGTCCGGCACAGGTTGGGGCCCGTCCTCAAAGACCCTGAGTCGATCAATCTCGACGATGAAGGGCTGCTCAGATCCGGCCTCCACAAGTTCTCAACCTGCAATGGAGATCACAGGAGCACTGGATGATGCCGGAGAGGTAATCAAGGATGCACCGCGCTCCAATGCCAAGCTCAAGCGGTTCACAGCAGAATATCAGCTTTTGTCACGCTAGAGCTCATCCACTAATCAACGTAGGCTGCAAGCCTGGCTCGACGATCCACCTCCACTGGCCTCTTTGGGGCCACCTCCAGCCGAGAGAAGTCCACGGGAGAACGAAATCCACGGTGGAAGACAGGGAGGAAGTAAAAGTAAAAGAGGGCCACGAGAGCAAGGAGGATGGCCGAAATGAAGCCCAAAGACAGGCCACCCAAGAGCCAGGGAAGGCAAGACCCACTGCAGGAGGCACAGGAGGAGAGATCAAAGACGGCATCTGCAGCTTCAATCCACCAACTAAAGCCTGAAACCATGCCCTTGAGAAGAAGGTCCGGGAACACTCATCTTTAGAAGGACAAATATATATAATTGGATTGGGATGGGGAATCAGGATGGATTGGGACAGCAAGGTCACAAACAGCAAGGTCCAATAGCAAGGTGCCAAGAGTTCATTGGTTTGTTCTAGGTGTTCAGTTTCGGTCATGTGTTCTCCAACCATTGCGTCAAAGAACGCACATATTGATTTCTCAAAATGAAATGACACAAGTTAAATTACAGTAACAGTCTAAACCACGTAGGCTTAAAACGGACATTGAAATGACTTTTGCATTGAAAATGCACCGTGGTGGCTGACATTTGCTATCGTTTGCTTCTGCCAAACTCAAATTCCATGCCCAAACCCCACTGTAATCCCCACTTTGCGGCCACAGCTTCGACCATCTGCAGCAAAAACTTATGTAAATTCTCTCGTTTGGAGTTTGCTTTTGACAGAGCCAAGTATCTAAGCCTTGTGGTGATTTCTGTTGGGATTCAAGGCTGTGTTCGGATTTTTGTATTGTTCATAGATCCCGCAGATTTGTAGGAATTTGCGGTGATCAACCATCCTCTCCGAAACCTTTTGCCTTCGGCTTTAGGGATGACACTGTGCAGGAGGCCATGGGCCCAACTTCAAGTCGTTCAAAGGAATCCATTTACCAGTTCTTCACATATAGAGTCTAGGATAATATGGATAAGGAGCAGTCTTGTTCTTTGGATCGCCATGTATATAGGTCAAATGTCTACTGCATGCTAGGGTGTTTCCTCACATGTTGCTTGTGTTCTCTGGTTGCTTACGACAAATTAGTTGGATGGCTCTCTCATGCCTGCTGATGAAAAACAGTGAAACCATGGTGAAACGTGGGCCTCGGCGTCACATGACGTGATTCACAATCAACTCGTTCATCAATTCCTCGAACTCGGCCGGCACCTTCTGGCCTGTTTGGATCGACTCATGGAGCAATGACACCGCCTTATTGTAAGATGCCCTCTTCTCGTCATCGTGGCCGAAGCCAATGATCATCCTTCGATCTGCTTCATTCATCCCATCTGCTCTGGCCTCCAAGGCTTCATCAATGAGAATTTGAGATACGCCAGCTGCACGGCATTCTTCCACAGTGGCACGGAGCAAATCAATAGGGCATTCCTGCACGAATCACACGCCGTGTGAACTAAATTCAGGGCCGACTTAGCAGGCCACCGCAGCTTTGCACAACGGACGCGGCGCGGACGCGGTGGCAAGGGTGCACAGAAAGGTTGGCCAAACAGATTTTGAAGCCAACTTCACACCATTACACCACGTGTTGCTCTTCCCTGACCAAATGTTGTCACACCCCACCGGTAGGTCCGGTGCGAGAAGTGAGGCCAGTGAGAGGTGCTTGCTATTTCTGTGCCTTACAAATCTTACAATTGAGAAGTGAGACACATCTGAGTGCATTGTGTGCACGACACATTCCAAGACTGGGGGAAAAATGCTGATCGATCGCTGCAACCTGGTGTCTTCGGCACGCCCCCCATTCACCGGTGGTGAAGGTTGTGCATGGTTTACATTCTCACGCCGCGTGGTGGGGGGTAACCGCGCATGTAAGACACCATGTGGTGCGTTGTCAGCAGTGCAGGGGCACCCGATCAGTGCGGTGATGGGTTTCTACCGGTGATGTGGTATGCTTTGGCTGGCACACGCCTGGTGGCAACGAGGCGTAGAACGAGACATCTCTACGTAAATTGATATCCAAGAAGTCTTGGTGCCCATCCACAGGAGGGATGCAATTAATGTAGGTGCTGATGCTTTCTGCAAACATTGGGTGAGGCTGCATGCCACCCACACTCCAAGACTTTGGTTTTTCGAGCTTTGCCGTTTCGTGCTAGGAGGTGTGACATGCCCTGTTTAGATTGATGTTTTGCCATGTTTTTCTACGCTAAGTAGAGGAAAGGTCCAAACGATCACCATGCAATCGAACAATGTGGTCAGTAATGGATGGCATCCACACAAGGTCCTTGATCGCTGCTTTGATGCCAGCCATGTCTTGGCAATCGATGGAAAAGTTCAAGGTAGCAAGCCTCGAAATATAATGCAAGAAAGCCAACAGTTGCATCACATCATATGATTTTACTTGAGGCACGCATACAGGATTTGTTTTGTGCTAGCCAGCCAGTCACCTCTAAGTGTTCAGACACCTTCTTTTTTTGGGGGGGGCTTACTGTTCCAAATATGTTTTGTTTCCCAAGCTTATAGAGAAGCAAAGGAGAAGCAAGTAGAACTGAATGGATCACCTACCAAAGCAAGGTGGAATACAGTGGGGCTTGCTTAGTATGCAAGGATCAACTGGACTGTTTGAGGAAAACAGGGTAACAAGCAGTCAAGAGGATAGAAGAGGATGTGCAAGTACATACTTGCATGTTATGTAGACGTATCCCACAAGAGCATCATGAAGCAGCTAAGTTGCATTCGCTCAATGCTGGACTTGGCCAGCAAAGCTTCATTCAACTCCTGCTCTGGAAGCTGTGCAGCCTCACACTCGGCAATGGCTGCTTTCAGCACCCGAATGTCCAAAAGCTGCACAGCGACACCCAAATGTGCCAGCAGTTGTTCGATTTGGCTTTTCAACATCTCTGCGGCGTTCACTTCTTCAGCAGGAGGTAGACCTGCTTTGTGAAAGTCTGAAATCGCTTCATTGAGGCTCTCAATTTCTTTCTTCGACGTTGCATCAGAGATCTTTTCAAAGATCTTCTCGATGCTGTCTTGAAGGCTGAGGGCCTCTTCTAACATAGAATCAGGAACCCCTTTGTCTCTGCATGCTTTGATCGCGGCCTTGAGAAGGTGCACATTTCGAGTCGAAATGCCTTCTTGCAGGTTCTCAAACAATCTTTCTAAATCGATTTGTACCATTTTGGCCTCTGCGGTCAGAGTGGCAGGAAGCCCGCCTTCATCACACGCAGTAATGGCCAATCGGATTTGTTGTATGCTTTGGCCTCGTAGTGCTGCTTCAAGCTTCGCGAGCAAATCTTCTATCTGGCTCTTGACTTCATGGGCTTCCGTCAAATAGTACTCGGGCAAGTTGGAATCTTCACATTCTTGAAGGATGGTCCGTAGTGATGCCAAGTCACGACTAGAGACTGCAGCAGACAATTGTTGAAGCATCTGTTGAATCTTTTCCCTCACTTGTGTGGCACCTGACAGCTCCCTCGCTTTCAAGCCAAAGTCTTCGCATTTCTTGACGGCAGCTGCAATTTCCTCCACATCCTGCCGGCCAACACCTCACCATGACACACAGCGAGTCATTCAATCAAAAACACGAGCACCAGCCGTCAGACCAACGTAAAGGTTAAGAGGTCCAAAACAACTGACTACACCACCATCGAACCATCAAAGCAGCTGCAGGTTGATGTTTCTTTTGCCAGCGAACTCTGAAAGACAAAGGGGAACAAAGGGAGACAAAGCAGAATCATCACACCCCAGCAAACAAGAAGAGCCATGGGAGAGAAAGGGAGACAAAGCAGAATCATTTCAGCCAGAACGGCCATGAAAGACAAAGGAGAACAAAGGGAGACAAAGCAGAATCATCACACCCCAGCATCCAAGAAGAGCCATGGGAGAGCAAGGGAGACAAAGCAGAATCATCTCAGCCCAGCATCCAAAAGAGCCATGTGGAGACAAAGGAGGCAAAAGGAGACAAAAGGCCAGATTGGCCCAGGGCCCAGGATCGTTTCTATGCAAGATTTGAGAACCCCTCACGGCAAAGGTGGCTACGGAAATAACAAAAACAGGGAAGCACTTGCAATTTCACCAAAATATGCAACAAATGGTTTACAAATGTTTACAGTATGTCTCTCCGGCCAGGGTGCATATCTGCACTTCAGCAAGCATGTCATCGATGGCACGCTTCAACTTGCACGCATGAATGAAGTCCCGCTCTGGTAACCCAAGACTCTTGCACTCCTCAATGGTCGCCTCTAGCATCTCCACATTCTTGGAATCAACTGCCCCCTTCAATTTCGATTGAGCTGCCATAATTTTCCGTTGTACCATCAGTGCCTGGCAAACAACTAACATCGCAAAACAAGACAAGCAAAGGAAACCAGCAGCAAGAGGGCCTATAAATATATATATATATATATCTCTCTCTCTCTCTCTCTCTGTGTGTATGTATCCTTGCCCGAGCTGGGGCCCTTTCTTGGTCAATTGTTTTGGGTGCTTACGGTGCAACAGTTCCTTTCCAGGGTCTTCTTGAGCAGCGAGTTCTGCCTTCTGGACTGTTGTGGCAGGGTCAAACAACAAGCAACACCACTCTTTCGATGCGGTCAACCAACAAATGACACCAAGCCAAGTCAGAACATAGATTGGTAACTTATGGATATGACGACAAGGCAGCGTGCCTGCGAAAGAATTTATTGTATCTACAGTATGCCCTTGATGAGCCAGAACATTGAAGTTTAGAAATCCACAAGGGAAATCCAGTGTCCAGAGAGCAACCACAAGAACTTCTGTAGGAATTCCGACTGCTGCTCCTAGTGCCACGTATTGCCCGCTATGCCCAACTCCGCGCGGCGGCGCCCTGACACCTCCGCCCCATGGCACCTCTTCACATGCTTCAGCTGGCAGCCCGGAAGCAATGCACTCCTACGGAAGAAAAATGGTGTTACGCCACCCCACATGTGACACGCTGAAGTCTGTCGCAGCAGATCTGCAGCAAATCCCATGGTTCCCATGGTTCTGAACCCTCCCAGTCCTGGACTGTGGCCTCCAGTGTCTCAGCATCTCGAGTCTTGCACGCTGCTTCGAGTTTTTGCATCAAGCCACGTATTTTCTGTTGAGAAGCGAGCGCCTCTTCAATGTATTTTGAAGGCATACCCGTGGTGCGACACTTGGAGATAGATTGCTCCAGTAAGGTAAGATTGCAAGATGCGACTGCTCCTTTCAACTCCTCCAAGAGCTTCTCAAGTTCAGCTAAGTGGCTTTCCGCCTCCAAAACGCACCTGCGAGGCAAACCTGCATGGTAACACTTCCGCAAGGCTTCGCGCAAAGCATCTCGGTCACTGCGTTGCACGTTGGTTGACACCTGTGAGATCAGCTCGTCAATCTCATCTCTTGCTTTCATTGCAGAATTGAGAAGCTGATGATCTACATTGAGAGCCTGCCAGCGGAAAAACTGGACAGAACCCGACCAACATGTTCAACATGTTCCTGCTTGGAAGAGCACAAGCAGCTTCACGCCATACAAACGGGATTAAGACGTGTCCGGCTGCTTTGCTTAGCGACAGTTGGATGTTACTTGGAAGACCTGTCAGCCACCTGGCCCAACCCAGCCTTCGCCGCATTGATCGCTTCAATCAAAACGGACGGGTCCTTTTGATCGGTGGCTGCTTGAAGCGAGTGAAGCACAGAAAGTAGTTGCTCTCGCTTTGACTTGGCCTCTTTAACGTCTCTTTCCGGCATACCCATCTTCTCACACTCTTGAATGGCTTGGCTCAGCAAATCTACATCTGCCAAACGTTGTGCATGATTCAATTTTCCAATCAGCTGTTGAAGTTCAGACTTTGTTGCGTGAGCCTGCTCCAGGCGTACTGGAGGCCAGCCATGGGCTTCACACCGCGCAATCGCACCACATAGTGCTTGTATATCTCGCTTCTTTATGCTGTCACTCAGCTCATTGGTCAACTCCATCATCTTCTTTCGGGCAGCACTCGCTTCCTGAAGTTTTTGCTCCGGAAGCATAGGGCGACACTCCTCCATGTCTCTGTCCAGGAGAGCCAAATCACAAAGGCGAGCACTAGCTCTGAGGTAGGCTTGCATGCAATCTTCCAATTCTTCCAAAGGAAGGCCCGCCAACCAGCCCCGCTGAATGGCGGCCGTGACCCCAGCACCTGGGGCCTCGACAGATGCACGCATCCACTGACGAGCAAGGCTCTGACCTGACGAGAATGCGTCCCCCAAAGGAAAGTGCAAGTGTGCTTAAGAGTCAAAGAGTTGTGGGTGGAAAGGGATGGAAAGGGAAGCAAGCAGTTGAGCCAACATCCGCTATATCCCCTCGCGCTCTAGTCGAGAGCGCAGGCGATTGCAGGTGTAGGCGAAGCAAGGCGAGGCGGATGTGTTCAACACAAATCAAGCCAAGAAAGGACATATCTCTCTGCACTCGAGAGGCCCTGTGAGTTTATTCAGTCAGTCATCCCCTCTTGGCTTCTTGCATGAGACACCGCAAGAAGCCAGCTCGGTGAAGGCCACACCAGCTCAGCGCATTCGAATCACCCCTTCGCCGGGCGTCTTTTGGTCTAGGTCTTAGGTTGTCAGATGCATGGGGAGAACTTCTTCATGGACGGCATGATTTAGCAAAGAGCAGCGACAGCTGCTAACTGCTGTTAGGGGATTGGTGGTTGCAGGTTTCACAGTTTCGGGCAAGTTGTGGTCCCAGTGGTCTCTCTTTGGGGTGATTTGTTTGTATGCGAGTGTCCTCTATGTGGTGCTCTACGTGGTCCATGTTCCATGTTCCTGCCAGCCGTGTCTTTTTCCCGAATGCGTAGCGAAGGGTTCCCGTTTATAGTTGGGGGTCTGGGGGTTGGAGCTATGTTTGCATGGCTTGCGTCGTGTCGTCGTCTCTCGTCGTCTGTCGTCGTCTCTCGTCGTCTCTCGTCGTCTCTCGTCGTTTGTCGTCGTCGTCGCGTCTCAAATTTGCTGCCATTGGGGGAAGCTTTTGCAAGTGACTTTGCATGGATGCGTCATATGTTAGTTTGCGCCGCTATTCCATTGTGATTTGCATGACAATGACATGTCGCGCAAGAAACGTGATGCATTTCGCTGCACAGGCGCAGCGTTTTGTGAGATCTGCAGTTTGCTGCGCAGTTCCATTGGGATTAGCGTTTGGAGAGTCGTGTTTTTGGGGGTGTTGGATGTGGCAGTGCCATTGGGATTTGCGTTTCAGGGTGTGGCATCGAAGCTCGGTTTTCGTGACAAGTCTCAGCTGAAATGGCGATTTTGGTGGATGGCAGTGTGCTCAGAACGGGTCGAAATCATTCCAAACGTGTGGTTTGGTGCAAATTTTGTTGAAGCTCACATGAGATGATATTGTCACTTTTCGTGGCAGGCGCAGGACTTTGTGCGGGCTTTGAGGCGTGGAAGTGCGATTCTCGTGGCAGGCGCAGGGAATCGTGAGGTTGCGAGGTGTGACGGAGGTGACATTTCGTGGCAGGCGCAGTACTTTGTGCGCGTTAGACGTGTGGACGCGGAAAGATTCGTGGCAGGCGCAGGGAATCGTGAGGTTGTGAGTTGTGGTAGAGGTGAATGTCGCTGTCACATTGGGATTGGCGTGTGAGCGGATGTTGTTTGGAGGGGCTGGCATCGCGAAACTGCTTGGCAGGGCTGCGTGATGTGTGTGCTCCGATGGGTGTTTCCGCTTGACTTTTGGAGGAAGTCTCGTACGAAACGCTCGTTTTGGAGACTTGACGCGCAACCCTCTGCGGAGATCATGCGTGTCGAGTGTGCGATATGCAGGCGACAGTGCGATTTGTCCCATGCGCGCGCAACCCTCTGCGGAGATCGTGCGTGTCGAGTGCGCGAAATGCAGGCGAGGGTGCGATTTGTCCGGTGCCCGCACCACCCTTTGCGGAGATCGTGCGTGTCGAGTGCGCGAAATGCAGGCGAGAGTGCGATTTGTCCGGTGCCCGCGTAACCCTCTGCGGAGATCGTGCGTGTCGAGCGCGCGAAATGCAGGCGAGCACTGGCGACTTTGTAGTACAACTTTAGTACGCGGAGTATCTGGGGAGCTGGAAGATGAGAACTGGTGACTTGGTAGTACAACTTTAGTACGCGGAGCAATCTGTGGAGCTGGAAGCTGAGAACTGGCGACTTTGTAGTACAACTTTAGTATGTGGAGCAATCTGTGGAGCTGGAAGCTGAGAACTGGCGACCTTGTAGTGCAACTTTAGTACGCGGAGTATCTGGGGAGCTGGAACAAGAGTGTCCCACAAGAGTGTCCCGCAACAGTGTCCCACTAGAGTGTCTCACAAGAGTGCCCCTTAAGAGTGTCCTACAGGAGTATCCCACAAGAGTGTCCTACAAGAGTGTCCCACAAGAGTGTCCCACAAGAGTGTCCCAGCCAGAGCGTCCCACAAGAGTGTCCTACAAGAGTGTCCCACAAGAGTTTCCTACAAGAGTGTCCCACAAGAGTGTCCTGCAAGTGACCCACAAGAGTGTCCCACAAGAGTGTCTCACAAGAGTGTCCCACAAGAGTGTCCTACAAGAGTGTCCCACAAGAGTGTTCCACAAGAGTGTCCTATAAGAGTGTCCCACAAGAGTGTCCCACAAGAGTGTCCCACAAGAGTTTCCTACAAGAGTGACCCACAAGAGTGTCCTACAAGAGTGTCCTACAAGAGTGTCCCAGAAGAGTGTCCCACAAGAGTGTCCTACAAGAGTGTCCCACAAGAGTGTCCTACAAGAGTGTCCCACA